ACTGCTTTGATGTGTTCCTGCAAACTCATCCATAGCATTTGATACACCATGGTCTTCGACTGGGGATTTCCAATTCGTTCTCTGTGTACCACCAACTCATGGATCAGTACACAGAGGCATAGAGGAGTGATGCATAAAGATGTATTCAAAGTTTTGGAGCTAGCACAGTGTGCCGTTCAGATATCAAGTTATCATCCCTTCATAACAAAAAGCTTATCGTATCTGCCTTCTGAGTCCACTCAAAGGCTGTGGTTGGGATACTTTCTTGCAGAAAATACAAAGAACTCTGATGCATGCCTCACCAGTATATGTATGTTTGCTTATAAATAATATACATCCTGTTAGTATATCAACATTAAGTCCATTCTAAAATATACATGAAAATAAAAATTTCAAAAGGAGAACATTAACACACATACACACACAATAGTGCCATTTATACTTTTTTTGCTTAAGATTGCATTATTAGAATTATCTTCAATCATAGTTTCTTGGCGAGAAACTTTTGTTCGTTTTCTGAGAGTTACTTTAGTTAATGCTATAAAATAAAATCTGTAGGTCATCTGAGTAGGGACACTTGAAACTGAACATAGGAGAGGCAGCCTTCTGGGAAGTGAATCTTCCACTCTCTACCCAGAATATCCTATGGGATACTGCACTACCCAACATAGGAATCAAATCGCCTTACCAAAGTCAATCTATGGATCAAGAATATTTTTGTTGAAAAAAATTCAAGTATAAATTTTGATTTTCTCACTCCTCCATATTCATTTCATCAGCAAATACTTTGGCAACCCACTTCAGTATTCTTGCCTGGAAAATCCCATGGACAGAAGAGCCTGGCAGCCTGGTGGGCTATAGTCTATGTGGTCACAAAGAGTCAGACATGACTGAGCAATTGAGCATAGCACCTTTATAGACATTCAAAATCTGATCACTTCTCACCTTCTCCAACCAAGCCACCGTATGTGTTCCAAGCTGCCATCATTTGAATTAGCATTATACGACCTCCCAACTGGTCTCTCAGCTTCTGCTCATGGCCCTGAACTTTAGGCAGTGAGATTCCATTAAAATATGTGCCCATTGTCTGTTCTCCCATCTCAGATAGAAAGCTTAAGACCTCAGTCTGATACACAAAAGGCATTTTATGATAATCCCCCATTACTTCTCTGTTCCTTGCTCACTTGCCTTACACAGATCTTTTCTAAATTACTTCTGTAGCTTTAAGAATGCATTGGCCTTCTCACTTAGCCTGAAGGCCTCAAAGGAAAAGGAAGATGTATTTACCATAACTAACAATGTCAGGAAAGAGTTTCCCTGTGAGGTAGTCAGACACTATATTTCAAAGCCTTTCTACAACTAGACAGATTTTCTTCTGAGATATTCAACAAGCAGATGAAAACTGTCCTATGCCAGTTCTTCTACTGATGGCCACCAGGGCCACAAAACTTTTCTGTTAAATATATCTTGATTTACTATAAAATAATGGTTTTACTTAAAGAGCACATTTTCATTATTTAACTTTGCAGATAAGATTTTGAAAATGATGCAAATAATAAAGATTATTTGCAGCACCCTTATTTGATGTATCATCTTCACAACCACACAGTTTAACATGAATTTAAATTCAGCCAGTAATTCTAAGCCTCCATTTCTATTTCAACCAATTTATTTAATGAAACAGTTCAGAGTACTTGCTTAAAATGATCCAAATAACATTTTTAAAAAGTGAAGGGCGATAGCTTTCTAAAGCATTTTGATAATAGAAACCATTGCTGTTCTTTAAAGTAATAAATCTTAACCTCAAATGTGAGTGCTAATTATACAATTTCTTATTAAAGAGATTCAAGTAGATCGCAGTGTGATCGTTATAAAACTGTAAACTCAGATAAAATTCACAGATCTCCCATAAAATACTGATTCACAAATATTAAGACCTCAAATAAAATACAAGCTGTGAAAGGTAACAAGTGAAAACACTGAAAAATAAGATACAAAATTATAAAGTGCAAACACACATTGTGCTTCAGTTCTCACTTTACTTATTTCCATCACATGTACAAACCTTTCAAGAAACCTGGTGATTTTCTTTATGAGGGCTGTGATGGCAACGATTGAACATTCTGCATTTTCTTTGTTAATAGAAACTATGATTTATGAGAGAGGAATAAAAATCTAAGAAAACCACTCAATAAATTATTCAATTTTCAGATCAAGCTGATTACAGCAAATTTCCTTCATGCTGCAAGTATGGAAAATGCAGCTTATTGGATAAAATGAGTGTTTAAAAGAATATCTAGAATTGTTTCCTTGTTTTCAGTAATTTGGTGACTGTAGACAAGTCATATACCTTAAGTCCAGTGTATTCATTCAAAAAATGAAATAATAATAGGAAGCATGTCTCAAAGTGCAAGAGATACACTACTAGAGGCATTTAAGATACCCAGTATGGTGATGAACTTTTTTCCAAATACTATTTATTTCTATGTGTATGAGAAAGATACATCATTAGTATGTTAACCTAAATATTTATAGAGGCTTATTTCAGGAAAAGCCTAGGTCGCACCATGGAAATCTCTCTTCTTCAGATAGTAGTTCTTTTCAGCTGTTAGAACATAGTAAGAATGCAATAACTGTTGCTGTTAATAATATTTTTCCTTATGATCTATTAACATTATTGTCATATTACCACAGCACTAATCAGCCAAATGTACTATACCCAACATAAAAGAAGTTTATGAGTATCTATACAAAAAAATCATCTGTTACTTTTGAAATGATTTACAAATAAAATGGAAGAAATTAAGGAACCAAGAAAGAATAAAAGAAAATAGGAAAACAAATGAAAACAAGTAGGAGGAATGGGAAACTCATAGAGGAAAAATGAGAAAGGACCTGATAAAATTAAACAATATAAACCATTTATCATAAGAATATTTGATAAAATGATATGTTGCAATCACACTGAGGCTAAGTAAATCTGCCTATAAAATTTGAGGTATAATCATATTTGGTGAATACCACCTACGTCATACTCTTAACTTTTGAATCAGGATATCTGAGATAAGTAAAACAGCTTTTTAGTTATTTATTTTAAAAAATTCCATCAAGTAATGCAGTGCATATCAAAGCTTTTCCTGTAATTATACTTAGCTTCTCTGAATAGTTTTAAAATTAGTTTTGTTTATTTTTCCCAAAAGGGGAAAAATAGTAGTGTTAGTATCCAATATAATATTGCTTGCAAATTTTCCTCTTCAATGCTTGTCATTTGCTTCCTATATACTTGCAATCAGAGTTAATATTTTTGTATAAGGAATATTTCCCAGGACAATATATACTTATTACTTTGTGAAAATATTATATTTATTTTAAATAAAATATTATAAATTTAATCCACCAGAATATATCAAGTAGTTTTAATATTTTTGTGTTCCAATTCTTATCACAAGCTAATCCTAAATTTTCTAAAGGATCACTCAATAATGATAAAGATAGATAATATTTATTAAGATCCAGATTCTTTAGTCATAGTAAGATTCAGTTCCATAGAATTAATAATTCTCAATAATTCTCTATTATGAAGTTTCACCAGAAGGCCCAATCTGATGAAACTTCAAATAATGAGTAAGCCACGTGATAGCAAAACTCATAAAAATTTCACCTTGATAGCCTGCCAAGAATTTCTCAACCAGAAATGAGGCTTATGGGCCAATGGATAAATTAGACACTAGGGATAAGTAACAGAAATACCACCAAGTGAGAATTAACACGTGATGAATGACACTAGCTGCCTTTGGAGAGACACTACAAGTGTCTCTCCAAATGAATCAAGAACACAAATGTAGTCAGTGAAAATTAATTTAAAAAGGAATTTTTCTACTTCTTGTTTGAAAGGTGTAATGCAAATACAATTATGTTACATGAACAATGAGGAAGGCCTTAAAGAGAGTAAATTTGCCAGATAATTAAATCTAATTTCTTTACAACAAAAAAACAAGTGACTTGAAATCACCACTTAGTTTTAATAAATTACTATCTGAATTTAACAGCCTCAGTGACTTTCTTGGTATTAGGAAATATTCCATCTATTTTGATCTTTAGCCTTCTTTGAAAAAGCCTTTTTCTGCTACCTATCCTCTTTCACTGAATAGTGCTCTCTAATCAGTAATCTTATAAATATAAGAAGAAGAAATAAATATAATGCATTTTTAAGAATAATACCTGTTTTATGTTTTAACATTTTAAGTATAGCAACATTTCTGAGTCCCAAATAAAATCTCTTTTAAAGAGCTAAAGGAAGTATCTAAAATTTTTTAACAATCTGAAACATGTAAACCTCTAACATGTTTTCCTGAGAAATATATGTAATAATATTATACATTTGTTTTTTCATCAAAAGCTAACTAAGTTGAAAATAAAATTTTAATATTTTTTAATTTTCATTTTTAAGTCACAGATAACAGGCTAAAAAGTCAGATAACATTATACAGCAGAAATCTAAGACTCACTTGCTAGTCAAAACCATAAACACTGTGATTATAAAGTTACAGTGATAAAATTTGTTACAGAATGAATCAAGTGGTCCAACTATAAAACAATTTACTTTTAGTTTTTATTTCATTTCTTATTACCAGAAAAAAAAATAGCACATGGCTATTATCATGTTATCAAATGAACACAAATTTAGGACCCATTATTATCAGAGTATCCTTATAATATATGTCCCATTAAGCTATTATTGTTACTTCTGTTTTCATTTTTACAGTCTTTAAAACATTTTAATAAATGTTGTTTTGTTTTGTAAAATATTTATTAATTATAATATAATTTAGAATTAGAAACTTGACAATTATGAGGAAATTGATAGCAGAATAGGTCAGAAACAGGGCACTTAGCTTGGCTTTTGCAGAAATGATTTATTGTGAACTCATATTCTCAACATGCTCTGAGGAGTAGAAAAAGTTCTGATGAAAGAGCTTGCCAATAAATTTTGCACTTACTTTGCAGAGGAAAAGTGTCTGTAGTACACTGTAACTCAGGCTCCTTGGCCCATTCGATCTTTGGCAGTATCTGCATCATCTCATAGTCACCATTCTTTGCCACAGACTCTGGTTCACTGTTGACTGGTGTCTTTTTTAAAGTCTTCATGTGCTTCTGAACTTCCGCCAAAAGAACAGCTTGTATTGCTTCAGTTACCTGTAAAATTTATTTTTTAAATGAATTATTTTTAGTGTTCACAAATGGTCAGGGTCTTATATAAACCCCCAAGCCTGGAATTTTGATTTGAATGTCTCACATAAACTGTAATGCTCCACTCCACCAGAATTACTATCTGAAACAACTGAAGTGCAGTTACTGGAACCTAGCATCCAGGTCATCATACTGCTCTTTTTTTTTTTTTTAAGAAAAAAAAGCCTCAAGAGATTATAAAAGGAAAATTTAAAGGCATTCTCCATTCTTTCTCATAAAATATTTTCATTTTCACCAGAAAACAAAATTTGAATATATCACATTGTTCTTAAAGACAAGTTTAGTTTCTGGATGCCTAGTACAATTTAACCAAACACACTTGATTTAAAAAATACAGAAAATTAAAGACAAAACTTTAATAATAAATCTCACCAAACTGTGTATATGTGTAAATAGTTTCACATGGCTTAAAACACTGCAAAGCCTGCCTTCCAGTTATTGTACATAGCCAGTCAAGAACCACTGTTGAGGGGAGAGAGAAGGGGGATATTTATCATGGGGTATCCAGTGGTGGTAAAGTGGATTGGTATTGTACCTGTCTCCTGAGAACCCAGTGTGCACGTCAAGAAGCAACAGTTAGAACCGGACATGAAACAACAGACTGGTTCAAAATTGGAAAAGGAATATATATGCCAACGCTGTATATTGTCACCCTGCTTATTTAACTTACATGCAGAGTACATCATGTGAAATGCCAGGCTGGATGAATCATAAGCTGGAATCAAGAAATATAAACAAGCTCAGATATGCAAGTGATACCACTCTAATGGCAGAAAGCAAAGAGGACCTAAAGGCAGACGTTTTGCCGTCTAAGCCACCAGGGAAGCAAAGAACATCTTAATGAGGGTCAAAGAGAAGAGTGAAAAAGCGGGCTTAAAAGTCAACATTCAAAAAACTAAGATCGTATGCTCACTTCGGCAGCACATATACTAAAATTGGAACGATACAGAGAAGATTAGCATGGCCCCTGTGCAAGGATGACACGCAAATTCGTGAAGCGTTCCATATTTTTCACAGCGCTTGAAACTTCTCAGTAAAACTCACTGTGTATTACCAAAAAAAAAAAAACAAAAAAAACCAAAGATCGTGCCATTCATCTCATCACTCATGGCAAATAGATGGGAACAAAGTGGAAAAAGTGACAGATTTTATCTTCTTGGGCTCCAAAATCACAGCAGACAGTGACTGCAGTCATGAAATTAAAAGACACTTTCTCTGTGGAAGGAAAGCTGTGACAAATCTAGACAGCATATTAAAAAGCAGACACATCACTCTGTCGACAAAGTCTATAGAGTCAAAGCTATGGTGTTTCCAGTGGTTGTATACAGATGTGACAGTTGGACCATAAAGAAGGCTGAGTGCTGAAGAATTAATGCTTTCAAATTGTGGTGCTGGAGAAGACTCTTAAGAGTCCCTTGGACAGCAAGGATATCAATATTAAAGGAAATCAACCCTGAATATTCATTGGAAGGAGTGATGCTGAACCGGAAACTCTAATACTTTGGCCACCTGATGTGAAGAGCTGAGCTGGGAAAGATTGAAAGCAGGAGGAGAAGGGGGAGACAGAGCATAGGATGGCTGGATAGCATTACTGATTCAATGGACATGAATTTGAGCAAACTCTGGGAGATAGTGAAAGACAGGGAAGCCTAGCGTGGTACAGTCCATGGTGTCACAAAGAGTCAGACATGACTTAGCCACTAAACAATAACAGCAATCTTGTGAGACCTTTAGGCTCCAGGGACACTCAGAGAGTTTATGCTGATGGCAAATGCTCAGTAAATAGCAGGGGCAGAAGAAACTATATTCTACAGTCTTTTCTAGAGTTTTAAATATAGGGAGCATCCAGAAAGTATCCGAGTAGTTTCCTGATCACTAATCATCCCCCTATTCTTGGCCACTCAGATGCTTGGTTGGGTTGTGGCAAAAAGGCTCATGAATGATGTGATTTTACTACTCTACACCAGATCTATTAACATTGTAGTACTGCCTGTTACAATACAGGTACATAATCCTTGCTCATGCATATTATGTGGTGAGATACTCAACACTGTGAAAGCTGTTGCATACCATGAATGCAACATAAAATTCTACACATTATGGTACTGATGACTCATGCTTATTAATATCTACCATATACTGAAACATATTAACTATTAGCTATGATATCTACTAACATACTATTTTAGATCACAGTAAGTGAACCACACTTATAGATATTATGAGAGGACAACCTGTATTAATTATTCATGGATAATTTTACATCATTGAATTTATGTCATTTTAATTTTATCACACATTTTATTTGATAGCACTGCCTCCAAGATATGAATGGTGTGGTATAAAGAGAAAGAGATCTCAATCTGAAATGAGAAGGTCCAAGCTTCTGATCAGACTATGACAGTTATTACAAATGCAACTTTTGACAAGTTACATACTTCTCTGGGACTTTAGGGGACATATGTATACCTATGGCTGACTCATGTTGCTATTTGGCAGAAAACAACAAAGTTCTGTAAAGCAATTATCCTTCAATTAAAAAAACAAAGACAAAACCAAAAAACAACAGTATGTGATTCTGAGAGAGGCTAAGATGAGAGCTTTCAATTACAGAAAGCTGTATGGAACTTGCTTCTGTTTCTACATATAAAAATCAGGAAGATATTGGAGGATATCCTTGGACCTCTGTAGTACACCAGACTCTGGTCTATCCCTTGGAATGGGCAGATTGGCCGTATGTTCCCACTGGATTATGGATGCCCTCTCATGACTGTGATTTACTGTGATTTAGCATGTCCTCTATCTACCAGATATAATATTCTATAACAACCTGGATCAATGTTCTTTCTTAAAAATATACAGAGATTTATGGAACTTCAGTTAATATTTCTAATTATTATATTGACCATATTTCATAATTGTTAAATTTTGGAACTTTTTAACATATATGTCACTATAAATATGTACTGCAGGAATAATTAATATGAGTATCATTAAGAAACAAGATGAAGTAGAAATAGCAGTATAAAACATATTTACTGCAATGAGCAGGACAATCAGAGCCACAGAACTTAAAAGTGAATACAGAATGGCACATACCCAGTTGGAATCAAACTCAAAATATACATTTTGTGCTACGTATGAGATCAATACTCAGAGACATGGTACAATTTATATAAGCATATAATAATGCTATAGTATCTGTTATACACTGAACACTAAAATCATGCAAATAGAGTTGAAATAGATTTTGTGTACTTTAAAAATATACATTATGAAAGGTAAAATTTAATGATAGTTTCTGACTATCAATGCTTAAGTCTCTCTAGCATGTAAATATAGTAGATAAATTTTGTAGATAGGTAGTATACATAGAATTTTTCCCAACAAATATAAAATCTATAGATATTATATAACTTTGTAATGATAATAATGAACCAGAATTGAAAGCACAATGCAATAAAGCTGTCTCCCAAATGCATATATAGTTTTTCCTGAAAAGACAGATATATGAGCATTACAAGTTATAAAGGAATGTGCAGATTTAAAATGAAGTTTGAAAATCCATTGACAGGGAAGAGAGCCACGTCTGGACCATATACTTATTAGCTGGGAGTATTACTGTGCCATAGCAAGCTACATTTATTTTTAATGGTTTTCTGCTAACATCTTGAAACAGCAAAGTATTGTAAAATAGTACAGAGCATTATGATGACTCATAAGAGCCCCTGTGGCCTGCGTGTGGTTTCAATGTCCATCCAAACTTTCTGGTATAAAAGCATTTTCCCAACAGTCAGGCTCACATTAGCCTTTCATGTCTTTTCATTATTTCCTTGAAAAAACAATACTTCTTTCTGGTGGCCTGGATTTCATGGTTTCACCTACCAGTGTTAGATTATAAAACCCAAAGAACTTTAGTGTTGCTTCAGAAATATGCAAGTTAGCAACCCCAAAACTTGCTGTTGCTTCTCCAGCATTTATTTCTATGTTGGGTATATTTCATGTGTGAGAAACCAAAGAGACAATCTGTGAACTCTTTCATCTGCAAAATTAACTCGTCCTTACTTATTTCCTTAAAAATGCCCCCCTTCAATTTCTGAAGTAGGATTTTGCTCTGTTTTACAAAATCATTACCATTGCCAGTATTCTTAAAATACATTAAAAAGCAGATTCAAATGAACATGTTTAACTGCTTAAATGAACACCTTTATAAGGAATTTGAGGATTGGTTATTGAAGCATTTATATGGATATTTCCAACAGCCTCTGTTTTTCCTGAAGGACCCAGGAATTCTCATTTCTATAGCATCTGTCCTGTGCTCAGATGCTCAGTCATGTCCAACTCTTTGCATCCCCATGGACTGTAGCCTGCCAGGCCCCTCTGTCCATGGGATTTCCCAGGCAAGAATACTGGCGTGGGTCACCATTTTCTTCTTCAGGGGATCTTCCCAGTCCAGAGATCGAACCTGCATCTCTTACATTTCCTACATTGACAGTCAGATTCTTTGCCACTAGCGCCACCTGGGAAGCCCCATTTCTACTCAACACATGAGGAAAATAAATAATCAACAAGTTAAACCTATCTTCCAGAATAATTTATCAGGTTAGTGGCAGAAAGGAGAGAACTTTGAAGCTTAAACTTCATACAGAGTGAATAATAAATGCTCTGGTAATATCTGTCCTGCTGCCAGCATTTTAACAAGGTCATAGAATCATAGAACCTTAAGGTCCATTAGTCCAAATATATCCAAACTACATTAAAATTTATTTGAAGGTCAAACAGACAGCTACAAAAGATCTTTAATTGGAGCAATTCAGAATAAATGTTCTGCTGAATTATTTTTTCCCTAAGAATTTTTTTCTCCACTGAGAAATTCTTTGGCTACTGGGGAAAAAAAAAATCCCACCTTTAATAGAGACCCTTTTAGGGTGATAGGAAATCTGCTGGTAAAGTCAACATATACTGATGTTTATTTGATTAACACAGAGGCTTTTTCATAGCTATTCAGACATTCACCAAGTATTTATTTACTGGCTGCTGTCACGTCTGCTTTTCTGTGCATTAGTGAAAGGAGTGAGTGAGACAGGGAAAGTCCCTGCTCTCAGCAAGCTTCTGTAACAGTGAAAGGACAGAAAATAAGCAAGCAAAAAACAAATGGTAAAATCTCCATTAAAAGCAAGCCTAACAAAGAAAATAAAAATGGATACTGTGATAGTGACTGGAGTATGGGGAGAGACAGAGTACAGTGACAATATTAGATGAAATGATCAGGGGAGACTTCTCTGAGGAATTGGCTTTTAAGCAAAGATCCAAATGATGAACGGGAAAAAAAGAGAATTCCAGTCTGAGAGAACAGTAAGGTCCTGAGGTGGAGATGAGCTTCGTGAGTTCTGGATATAATAAGCAGATCAGTGTGGCTAGTGAGGACCGGGGAGAATGATGAGGAAAGAGGTTAGGCTAGGGGCAAATCATGTAGGCCATGGTTTTAATGACCATCCCAACTGTGTTATTTGGTTTCATGGTATCAACCCCCATAATCTGTTCTGAATCAACTTTCTTTGTTTTCCTGTAACCAAAAATAACCATTTATAATTGGCGTTATTGCTATGCTTGTCTTGCAAATGTGACATTTATTTAGCCCATGAAGAATAAACTTCCAGTTAATATTCATCTAATCAATGCACAGATATTTATTGTATGATGTACAAAGCTATTCACACATACATAAACAGTCCTTGAAATAAGGAAAAGACTTAAATTGGACATTGAGTAAACGAGGTCTCTACATCAGCTCACAAATGAAAAGGATAGAAAAATGATCTCTAATCATATCTATCAAATTCACAAGCTTAGGGACCTTTCTATCTAATATTGAAATCAAATAATAAACATTTGCCTCAGTGGGCACTATGTTACCTATAACACCATAAACATCTCTTCATCAGCCCCCTCTATTCATACCCCCTAACTTGGTGCATCCTTGCATGTTCTTTTCCACTTTTCCCTCGTTATTAGTCTCTGTATCAGTCCTATTAAATGAAATACCCTGGAAAAAAACACAAGAGTACCTACTTACGTGTAGTCTCAGGTAGAGGGGAATATGAAGGAAATGTAGCAGCAAGGAACTCTTCCAGTAACTTTAAGAAATGAACTGTTATCATACCTGAACAGACTGGTCTCTCCAACAGGAAATTAGCTTCAAAAGTGAAACATCAGCTTCAGGTAGATGAGATTCACTCTTACCTAAAAATATATAGAACACATTTCTATCTTGAGAGTATTAAACATGGAGGCAGCCTAATGATCTTCAACCCCGACTGCACATTGAAATCACTTGGGAGCCCTTTCCCGCCCCCCACAAAAATCAGTCTTCCAGTGACTCTGATCTAACAGGTCCCAGGATGAGAATGGGGCAGGCATTAATACTTTTTAAAGTACCTTAGATGATTTTCATATATAGCCAGAGTCAAGAAACATTAATTAATATATATGTATTTCTAATAATTTTCCTAATACACATTCACATCAAATCAAACTCATCTTTTTACCTTAAACCCATTTCTGTACCTTTTTGCCACCAAAATGCAATGATTAATATTTTCCTCCAAACAGATTACTGAATTTCACAACTCCTTCCTCATACAAGTAGTTCCTGAAATTCTACCTTGCCATGAATCAGTATCTATCACACAGTAAACCCTATAAAAAAACTTCCTTTGATTTGTCCTTACCTAGCTATACTACTCTGATCAATAGGTATAGCACTTATGTTTTAATTTGACTCATTTTGTTATATATCGTTTCTTTTAAATTTGCCCTCTTGAATGTCCTTTCTATCTATTTGCCCTAATGTTCAGCGTGAAATTTTAAGGGTAAGCTGTGGCTTAGTTTATTTAAATTGATCCATAGAGTGTCCAACAGTTCCCTACACAAAAAAGCACTTAATAAGTGCCTTTTCATTAATTGAAAATGGACATATTATCATCCAAATGAAAAAATCAATGAATTAAGGCTTTCTGATGGCTAAAGTATGTTATCTAGGTGCCAGATCCAGGAGTGAGATAAGGAAGAGTAATGCAATCCTGCACTGGAGGGAAAATTGCTATAATTGTCTATTTAAATTAATGTATTAATGTATGTTTGAAATCCTGGATCAACTATTTAAATTAGTTTTAGTCTAAGATGCTTTTCATTGAATTACCATTTTATATTTTAATAGACATGTATGTGTGTGTATATATCTCACATTAGTGGGCAAGGGAGATTAATAGAAGGTATTGATATAATATAAACTGGGAACATAAAAGAAATATATAAGAAACTTCTGACTCATTATTAATGTCATGTTTTCCTTTGGAACCTATCATATAAATTGGAAATGGCCAAGAACAGTATATAAAACATGTGAGTATGACAGAGTACTATGAGTTTGAAGTTGTATCTTTCATTTCTTCATGAGCAGAGCAGGTAAAGGAGCATTTTCTTTTTATCTATTTCCTTTCTCCCTCTTTCATTTGGTTGACCTTGTGATTGCGCCATCAAAGTTAAGTATTGGTCTCAACTGTAACTACTTACTGGCATCATGGGGTACTTCATAGCGCACTTTAATGTGATGTTAAAACTTTAATATGAAATGGAAATGAGAGCCAACTTTTCTTGGCAATGTCAGTGAGTTAAAGAATTAATTATAACTTCAGGGGAAAGATAAAAAGAAAACATCTCAAGCTTACCAATATTACTTAGCCATCATTTCTGATGATGGAAGTGGGTATTGGTTCCTGTCAGTCCTTCAGAATGAGCATCTCAGAGTACTATTTTATTCCTCAGGCTTGGACTTTATAGAATTAAAAGCATGAAGTGAATCTCTCCTTTCTTTAACCTTCCATCTCCCAATTATTAAAACATAAAACCATGTTTCCTTTGTACCTAACTTAATTTTAACTGCTATAAATGCCACCTCTCAACATCAGGGAGATTGTTTGATAATAACCCTAGTTGCTTAGGCTGCTTTGGTTGGGACAATCACAGGAAAAGTTGAGGCCTCCTTGGTTCTGGTTAGCAAATACCTGGGTATCTGCAGAAGCCACTTACTGTTTCTGTTTTGTTGCTAAGCCATGTCTGATTCTTTTGCGACCCTATGGATTGTAGCCCACCAGGCTCACATGTCCATGGGATTCTCCAGGAAAGAATACTGGAGCGGGTTGCCATTTCCTTCTCCAGAGGATCTTTCCAACCCAGGGATTGAACCCACATCTCTTGCATTGGCAGACAAGTTGTTTACCACTGAGCCACTAGGGAAGCCCATAAACCACTTGTATTATCCCTTAAATTCTCTTTCCCAGCATTATAAAAAATAAAAATTAGAGTAAATAACCCTAATAATGACTACTACTTCAGGCGAAGGCAGGCAATCCAGACTAGGTCCTGTGGAGGAAACATAACTTCTAATCATAAATGTGAGAAATGGCCTGACATAGAAAGAGCAAGGAAGTTGGAATTAAATGGAGATGGACTGGAATCCTAGTCCTTCAGCTTGTTAGCTGGTTGACTATGAATGAGTCATCTAACTTCTCTGATCCCCGACTTCCCTAAGGATTAAACAGAGAGAGATCCTCTTATTGCGCAGTGTTATTTCTATATTAGTTGAGATAATACATGTAAAGTTTGTAGACTTAATTCTTTGGACATACTAGTGGCTTAATAATTAGAGACTATTAATAAACTCTCACTTTAATATTCTGAATGAATATTCTATGCAAAAGCTCTGAGAGGGCCACTGTGCAACTGTTATTCAGGTCACCCCAATGATTTAGTCATATGCTGCACAACTTTGGAAGTAAAAAGCACATCACATCTGGGATCTTATTCCTATTTTCCAAATTCAGTAACTATGGCTTTTAAAGGAGTAGAAGATATACTTAAAGCTACTTAAGTAGTAAGTGGCAGAACTGGATCTAGAACCTCAGTGGTTTATCTCCAAAACCATTGTTCTATTTTTTATTCATTCTCAATCCAAAAGTATTTGCTTAATTCCTTGCAAGCATTGTTCTGGGAACTGGGAGCACAGCAGTGAATAAAGCTGATAAAAAAAAAGATTATTTAATAATCTCCCTGGAGCTTACATTTAAGTGGCAGGAGGTAGGTGGCAAATGAAAAAATGATATACAGCATGTCAGATGTTGAAAAGGATTATGATCAAACAGGGCAAGGGGTAGAGTGTGCCAGGGAGAACGGAGGGCGCCTGCACTGATAAGATGGCATTTGAGGATGAATTGAAGGATAGAGGATAGAGGTGGGGAACAGCAGGTTGACTTATGTGGAATCTGGAGAAAGGGCCTTCCAGGCGGAGGGAACATTCAGTGCAAAGACCTTAAACCCTGCCTGGCATGTTCTGGTAAGAGTTAAAAAGGGCAGCCTCACTGGAAGTAGTGAAACTGGGGATGAATACAAAGAGACGAAGTCAGATGGGGGCGTGTGTGAAGACATAGGTGGAGCAGCCAGGTTATACAGGGCCTCATGAGCTGCCGTAAGGACTGTAGCTTTTATTCAGAGTGAAACAGAAGCTGCTGAAAAGTGTTAAGTAGTAGCATGAGGGCTTCCCTAGTGGCTGAGACAGTGAAGAATCCGCCTGCATCACAGATAGACCTGGGTTTGATCCCTGGTTCCGGAAGATCTCCTGGAAAAAGGAATGACTACCCATTCCAATATTCTTGTTTGGAGAATCCAATGGACAGAGGAGCCTGGCAGGCTCAGTCCATGGCGTCACAAAGAGTCAGATATGACTGAGCAACTAACACACATGAGGTTCTGACTTGGTTTCAAGTAGATCATTCTGGATATTTGGTTGGGAATAGAGTGCAGGAGTCAAGAAATAGCAGCAGAGGGTAGTTAGGAGCCTTCTGTATCCAGGCAAGAGGGGATGAAGTCTCACACCAGGCATTTGGCAAAATAGTGGAGAGAAGCCGTCAGAATCTGGGATATGTTCTGAAGATAGAACCAACATGAATACTGAAAGTTTGGATGTGGAGTATGAGGAAAAGGAGAAAGTCAAAATGGCATTAAAGTTCTTGGCCTGAATAACTGGAAAGATAGATTTGTCATTTACTGAGATGTCAAAAAATTGGATAAGGAGGTTTGGGAGATAAATTAGCCATTTGGCATCAAAATAAAATCTTAACACCAAGATTGTTACCCAGAAAAATTCAAAGACAACCTTCTGAAATAGCTGTAAAACTGTAAAATTATTTAATACAATACTTATGTGGTGATAAAGATATTGATATAGTAAGCTTTCTCATAAATCATATGGGACCTTTATTTAATATTATATGTTTCCTTGCTGAAAAGTTTCAGACTTTTAAGTATTTCACAGATCATTTGAAAAATCTATTACATCTTATAAGATACTTGTTCTAATAATGAAATTTCATATATTTTAAATAGAGACAGAATATAAAACTATAACTGTGTGAAACACAGACTAAATCAAACAGTAAACATGCACCCTTCTCATTCTAAACTGTAGGATACTATCCAGTTATGGCACTTTTATTTCATAGAAAAAAATTAGACTATATCTGTAACTACTTTACCATTTCGTAAATAACCGTAGAAGCTTGAAATATTCAGAATATCATTTCCAGGACTTTTCATCTTATTATGCACAGACTCGATTTTGAAAGCACTGTTGAGGAAAGATTTAAAAGATATTGTTAAATATGTATAAATATATTTTGAGAAATAAATTGAAGATATGACTGCATGACCACTTAAACAAATTTGGAAATTGAGCACATTATTTTTAGCAATGTCTTTGACATTATTCTCTTTGGTGAATCTTATTTCCCCACTTTGACTTACCTAAAACCCTAATCTAAATTGAATTGTGAATGTTGGTTTATTCAGAATTATCTTGCGATCCACTTTTACTGGAAGGCCATTGCTACTTTAAGTCATGTGATTTTGGCTAATGCAATAAATTTTTGAGTCCTAATATGTTCATATCTGCCAAAGAATTATCCCCAGATAACATCAGGACTTGGTGAAGGCAGCCTTTACCCTAGTCCAGTGATTCAATGGGGGAAAATTTCAGATACTATCCAGGGATATTCTCAAAGGCAAATAGCTCTTTGCTTAAAATTTAGTTATATCATGCACTCAGTTGTTAAGCATGCAAAGATTTCTTCACCTTCCTGACCACAATGAAATGTGAGCAAAATGGCAACATTTATTGGAAAGATTTCATGTGACAAATTCAATACACAGTATTTTGATTTCCTTAAATATGACACATAGTCCCCAAAAGCAGATCAAATCTGATGTGGCTTACTTAGGGAAGCAGTCTCTAATCCTGACACCTCCATTCAATAATTTATTTTAATGAAGAATTTTGTAAAGAATTAACTAACATGTGGCAATGATTTTAAGGCCTTTTAATGGATAGCATGCTGAAAGCCCTTAATCTCCTGTGAAGGGCTCCAGACACATCCTCCACATCCTGCATTCAGCATCAGGAACAAACTCAGAATGAAAACCTCTGGCGATAGTAACTGAGTCCCTCATCTGCTCTGTCTGGTCATGATTAAGCTAACAAATAGAATTTGTTTTTAGAACTGAAGAAATCTTAACCATCACCTATTCTATTCACCTCATTTTATAAATGAGGAAAGCAAGGCCCAAAGGGGCTAAGTGACCAGTCCAAAGGCACACTACTTTAACAACAAAACTGGGATTTGTTCTCAGGTCTTTGGAATCGGCTGACTATAATTTTTATCATACATTAGGTGTTATTTAATTTTCTCATTAATAGAAAAGTGAAAGAAGCCTAACTGAAATTAAAATACACATATTATATTTATATATATGTTATAAACATGAAGTTATATATTTATAAATATAATGAACAGAAGAAAAAATAGAGGAAATTTAAGTATAGGAATCATGGAAATTTATCAGTCTCTACTTTCTCATTATTATGGCCACCAAACAGAAAATGGAAAAACCCTGTAGGATAGAAGCATTGAAATGGAAGGAAGCTTAACACTGAATCTATATAATCCATATGGACTTGCTACCAGACTGTAGGTTCACTGAAGGTAGGAGCTCTATTATATAGTACCTGGCACAGATTTGTTGAACTGAACTTTTACCAAAGAATAGACATGTCAAGGACCATTTACTACCATGTAATGAGCAATTCAAACACTACATCTTCTCCAAGGGCTTTCTGATGGTGTCATCTCACACTAATTATTCTCTTTCCTCTGATCATCTACAATACTTACCTATACAAATGTTTCTCCTTGTTCTTTTAAGTGTTTTCTACTTACTTCATATGCATTATCTTCATTATTTGAAAGAGTTCCTACCCAAATAAAAATTTTATTTATGTTTCCTCTGTAAGCTAGTGCTAAGGACATATTCGTTAAGCACTTGGTGAGTCAGATAAAATCTTCTAACATCAGACTATGAAAAACCATATTGAATTGTAGCAATGGGAGAAGGTAAATACAGAGTCAAGGTTAGCAATCAGGCTCTGGAATTAGACTGATGCCCAGACTCAGATTCAGCTTGCAAGGCTCTGAATTAATCTTGGGGTTGGTACTTTCTCTTTTTAAGTCTCAATAGCCTATCTATACATTAAACCAATAATTGCACCTATACCCTAGCTTTGTTGTGCACGTGGAATGAAATCATGTGGCCAATGCAAGGGCTTACATGGTGACTAGTAGATATCAAACACCCCAAAATAATAGCTATTATTACTAAACCATACTTTCTATAAATGAATTGATGATAACCTCTTCTATATTAATATGCCAAACTATAAATTAAATGGTGGGATTTGAGGTATGAAATTTTCAAATTTTTCTTTTCCTAATGATATATGAAATATGCCATCAGAGGCATTTACTTTAATGCTTTTTGTTCATAGTTAATTCACAGCAAGGAGAAGGCAATGGCACCCCACTCCAGTACTCTTGCCTGGAAAATCCCATGGACAGAGGAGCCTGGTAGGCTGCAGTCTATGGGGTCACGAAGAGTTGGACATGACTAAGAGACTTCATTTTCACTTTTCACTTTTCACTTTTATGCATTGGAGAAGGAAATGGCAACCCACTCCAGTGTTCTTGCCTGGAGAATCCCAGGATGGGGGAGCCCGGTGGGCTGCCGTCTGTGGGGTCGCACAGAGTCGGACACAACTGAAGTGACTTAGCAGCAGCAGCAGCAGCAGCAGCATAATGGATTTCAAATGTGTGTGAATCTGTTTATCTATCTACCTATCTATTGAACAATTCAGCATCCAATACTGTGAGTTTTCTGGAACATATTATGAGAGCAATGGATATTTGCTAGATGAATAAATTTTAAAATATACGGATTTACTGCCCAGTTTTTTTTCCAATCTCAAAGAGTTAAATGGAAGATTTTCTTAAATGTGTTTTGAGCTAAAGGAGATGTTGCTTATTTACTCTTTCTTTCCTTCTTTCCTCCCTTCCTTTAAAGGTCTTATTTTTTAAATGATTTTATTAAAGTTTCCATGATATTAAAATGGCATAAAAAAATTATTAAGTAGCAGTACAACTAAAGGCAAGTCATTTCAGTTTTTTGCCTTAGCTATAAAATTTCCCCCCCAAATTAACAAGAAAAGGAGAAATGAGGGAGGCTAGAGAGCTAAATTTAACAAATAATAATAATTTTTTAATTTCCTAAATAAGAAAAGTCAAAATCTCTAGGTATGTCTTACCTGTCCATTCCATATGCCAGTTCTAAGGGCATGTTAACTAACTTGTTAACTAAAAATAGTTTCCTCAATAAATAAACTATAGTGTTTGACTCTTGCAAAAACTCAGAATTATTTTCCAGTCCTTTTGGCATCCCGGAGTTATTTGGAAAAGTGGAAGTGTATTTATCTGACAAGTCCAAAACTTTTCGAGAAAATAAATTCACTTTTGAATAGTCTTTTTTCATTTCAGTATTGTATAAATCCCAACCGGGCAGCATCAATGAGAAGTGATCTTCATTTGCAGCAAGTCCTAAAGAAACAGGACCCTGAAGCTTTAAAATATTGAGATGCTTAATGCAGAGATTATCTAATTCTTTATCCACTCCCCATGGCAAAAGGCAAGATAGGAGCAATTTAGCTGTGTCTATTGTGAGGTTGGCATCGACTTTTCTTGATTGCTTAGGGTGCATCTTTTTGAAGCTCTTTATTTTCTTCTGCTTTTTAATACCATCATTTTCTTCTGATAATTTGATGGCATTATCTCCTTGGGCTGGGCTTTCACCAACAGGCTTGGCATGTGCCTCCATAGAGAGAGGACCACAGACAGTTTTATTTCTTCTCAATGTCAATGTTGTCTTCTCTACTGTACTTTTGGCTCTTCTCAGAATCTCACTGCAGTAGAATGAATTGGAAGGGTCAACATCACAGATTGGAGTTGGCAGCAGAAGTTCAACAAGGCTTTCCAGATCAAAAAGAAGTATATGAAAGCCAATGTTACTCCATTTTGTCTTCACAAGCAAGACATTAAAAGGTCCCGAGAAAGACTTGGCATCAGCAACCTGAGGGAGATTTTAAAAATGTATGTCAAAGTCCTTATTTTTTAAGTGATTTTATTCAAGTTTCCATGATATTAAATTGGCATAAAAATAAATTATTAAGTAGCAGTACAACTAAAGGCAAGTCATTTCAGTTTTTTGTCTTAGCTATAAAAGTTCTCCTCCAAATTAACATTCTATATTCTAATTATTTTGAAAACTTTTGTTTTTCTAAAACTTATTTTTTCCCCTAAAGAAATATGACTTAAGCCTAAAGAGTAAGATGGCATCAGATTAACTTCCTTTTAGATACACTTATGTATCTTCTTATCACTGTAGCCATGAAAACATACAACAGGGGAAAGGTGGGTATGAAAATTAAGGAGCAGAAAATTTAGAACCCTTGCAAGAACTGAGGAAGTCTTTTAACAAAAATGGTTTCTCCAAATTTGTTTATAATTTTTAAGAATTATAAGTAATCTAAAATGTTACCTAGTATCAAGGTTTTTTTTTTAATTTTAAAGATTTCCATTGTGGACTTGCACTTGTACTTTGTCTGAGATGATTTTGCCCTAAATACTGGCACAGTGGGCTCCCACAGTTCGGTTTTGTTGCAGCTCATTTAAGAGGTCTTCCTTGAGTACCCTGTGTCTCTATCCTCTTGCATTTTTTCCTTCATAGTATTAATTATTGCCTTATATGAAATGCTTATTTACTGTATATTTTCCCAAATATCATTTAGCCTCCACCACTGCAGGAGCTTTGTGCATCCCTTGTTCCCAATGCCAATAAAATAATGCCACTATACACTGTTATAAGGGCTTCATAAATGTTTGTTGAATACACCATGAACAATGAAATCAAATATCTTTAAATGATGGTGTACAAATATATTTATGGGGGAAAATGTGTTCTACTGGGCAGAATAAAATCCTTTTTGTTAAACCAGATGTGTACACATATATAGATAGTTTTAAAGATTGCTATATATAATACATAAATATATAAATATATGTATATATTAATATAAACATATATGTGTATATAGTCACAAGGAACAGGGATAGTTACCAAAATGGTGACAACAGTTAATTGGGAAGAGGGGGTTAAAATGATGTTTATTTATACTTTAGGGGTTTTGTTTTTCTGGTTTAGTCTTTTGAAATTTTTGTAGTGACTGTATATTTAATTTAAAAATATAAAAAAAGAATATTTTAAAAACCATTACAATTTTTTGAAGTAAAAAACCAAAATGGGGACAAATTTAAATAGCACTTTTTTCCTTTGTTAATGTAAAAGAATAGTATACAGATTGAAAAATGGGCAAATAACACCAATATCAATTGACAAATAATAACATTCAAATTAAAATATAAAAAATGCTTACCACGAATAGTAATAAAAAAGTAAAATTAGGATAAAAATATCATTTACTACTTATTAATTTAGCAAAAAGACTGTCTTACATTATTTTATTTTGTAATGTTTAATACATACAAATAATGTATAAACCGTACATTTAGTTTTTTAAGATTATCAATGTCTTATACCAAGAAACATGGACAAATGTAATTAGCATTATTATTCAGAATTGCCCCAAAATAGAAGCAACCTTCCCCAATGGTTCAGAGGGTAAAGAATCTGCCTGCAATGCAGAAGACAGAAGGCTTGGGTTTGATTCCTGGGTCAGCAAAATCCCCTGGAGAAGGAAATGGCAGCCCACTCCAGTATTCTTGCCTGGAGAATCCCACGGACAGAGGATCCTGGCAGGATACAGTATATGGGGTCATACAGAGTCAGACATGATTGAAGGAAACTAAGCAAGCAAGCAACAAACAAACTACAGGTCTATCAACAGTGGAATACAGACACTGTGATGTATTCATGTAATGGGAATATATACAATGAAAAATGAAAGAACTATAGACATTCAATAACATGTATAAAATGTATGAAACCACCTATATAATGTTGACCAAAGATGCCAGACACAAAATATTTAACTGCTAAATTAAAAAAAAAAAAATACAAACAAAGCAATAGGGTTTAAGGAAAGCTTTCATAGATAATAAATCTATAAGGATAGTGGTTATATTTGGAGAGTAAGGATGCCATAATTTCTGGGGTGCTAAGTATTTTATTACTTGATGTAGTGATCATGCAGGTATGCACTTTGTGACTATTGAGTTGTACACTTTTGTCAAGTGTTCTCTTTATTTTTTTCTGTATGTATTATACATTTCTTTTCTTTTTTAGTTGCTCAGTCATGTCTGACTCTTTGCCACCCCATAGACTGTAGCCCTCCAGGCTCCTCTGTCCATGGAATTCTCCAAGCAAGAATACTGGAGTGGGTAGCCATTCCCATCTCCAGATCTTCTTGACCCAAGGATCAAACCCAGGTTACCTGCATTGCAGGTAGATTCTTTACCATCTGAGTCACCTGGGAAGCCCATTATACATTTAATTTTAAGCAAATAATGTAACTTAAATGTTACAATAATATCAACAATGTCTCCCTATTTTGGTTAAAAAACTAGAACTTCCTCTGATTCTATACCCCTGCCAACTGTCAGAGGTAAACAGTATCTTCAATTTCATATTTATGATTTGCTTTAAGTCCTAACATAAATATCTATTCCTAATTGACCTATTTGATTTTGCACATTCTTAATTTTCATAAAAATATGATTATGCTCTTTAGAATTTTCCACTAATTGCTTTATTTAGGCTGAATTTTATATTTGTGAGATTCATATTTTATAATTACAGCTGTAGTTCTTTCATTTTTACTGCTATAAAGTATTATACTATATGATAACTACAGTTTATTCATTTAAATGGATATTTAAAGTATCTTCACAATTTAATATTACAAAAAGAAAAAAGGCACAGTAAATATTCTTCTGGTAAAGACTTTCTTCTGGTGCATATTTGTAAAAGTTTCTAGAGTGATGTTAATCATTTATAGGATATACATATCTTCAGTTCTATTAGATTTTTCCAAATTCTTCTCCCAAATAATTGTATTAATTTATAAGTCTCAGTACCACTGTGTAAAGAGTTTCCATGTTCTACATCCTTACTAACACAGGATCTCCTTTTTGTTAATATGGGGATATAAGTTATTTCTTCTAGTTTTAATTTTTATTTTTTAATTATTACCATTAATTATCATTGCAATACTTCATTGGCCTTTCACATTTGTTCTAAAAAAGGTCTACCTATGGCTTCTATAAACTTTCTTTTGTCTTTTATTGCCTTTCAGGTTTATATGTTCATTCTGGTAGTAATCTGTTGGTTATTTGGTCCAAATCAGTCAGTCAGTCAGTCAGTTCAGTCACTCAGTTGTGTCCAACTCTTTGAGACCCCATGAACTGCAGCATGCCAGGCCTCCCTGTCCATCACCAACTCCCGGAGTCCACCCAAACCCATGTCCATTGAGTCGGTGATGCCATCCAACCATCTCATCCTCTGTTGTCCCCTTCTCCTCCTGCCTTCAATCCCTGCCAGCATCAGGGTCTTTTCAAATGAGTCAGCTCTTTGCATCAGGTGGCCAAAGTATTGGAGTTTCAGCCTCAACATCTGTCCTTAGAATGAACACCCAGGATTGATCTCCTTTAGGATGGACTGGTTGGATCTCCTTGCAGTCCAAGGGACCCTCAAGAGTCTTCTCCAACACCACAGTTCAAAAGCATCAATTTTTCAGCGCCCAGCATTCTTTATAATCCAACTCTCACATCCATACATGACCACTGGAAAAACCATAGCCCCTTTTCTCTATTTGTGGCTTATCATTTCACTATTTTTAATAATGTTTTCCGATGAATATTGAATTCTTATTTTAATACTATAAAATTTGTGAAATATTTACTTTAAAAATTATATTTTGGGGGTCTTCTTTAAAAAGAAAAATGAAAACGTTCCCTATCCAGAGAATATAAAATTATTTACCTATTTTTCCCCAAATTTAAAGTTGCACAGAACTTTTACATTCTTTAATACTTTTCTCTTTCATATTTGTGTTTGATTTGCAATTGGAAATGATTTTCATGTTTTTTAAAATTTTGACATCCAATTATTTCAATATTATTTGTGAATTTTTCTTTTTCTCACGGATCTCTGTTTCCTGGGACGTTAAGCAGTTTATCGATGATTGCACAATACTCCACTGTATAATAGCTTTACAAAAAGACTTTAAGAGCTGATTGGGTAGTTTCTTCTATCCTGTTCTTCCTATGGTCTTCTATTCTTTTAAACTCCAAATTATATCTCCCACTTATTTAGACAGTGCTTAATTTCCTTTGAAAGTTTTATAACTGTTTAAAATGATGTTTATATTTTTCACTTATAATTTTTAAACGTTCCATAACACCTGTAACTATGGGTCCCTTTTAATTTCTGTTATTATTTTTGTTGCTTTTGTTGCTTTCTCGCTAGAAGTTTGTTGATTTTAATTTTTTTTTTCAGAGAATCAACTTTGAATTTGTTGATCCTTTCAGTGAAATAATGTTTTTCTCAGGAGATAGTTTCCTGGAATATACTATTTAAACTTATTTTCTCACAGCATTTTAAGGCATTATTCTGCAGTCTTCTGGCTTCCTTTGATGCTGTTGAGATGTCACACAGGCAGTTGATATAGTCTGTCACTCCATCTGGCAGCACTCTCTGCTGCTTTTCGGATCTTATTGTCTTTAATATTCTGTGTGGAAACACAGAATCACTCTGATTCTTCTGGTGTGGATGTTTTGCCCCAGTCTTACATTGTACCTGAATATTCCTATCTTTTGTTAATTTTGTGTGGTTCTCAGGTATGTCTTTTTGAATATTTTCTCTCTCTGTTCCTTATGAAACTCTGACTAGTTATTAATGCTTGTCACTCAATCCCCTTTCATGTTTTTCGTCTCTTTGTCTCTCTGCCACATGCTGGGCAGTGACTTAAGAACTTCTCTTCTGATCAGCCAGTTTTCTTCTCACCTGTCTCTATTGTGCCATTTAATTTGCCCACTGAGTTTCTAATTTTGATT